TGTGTGAAGCCAGGGGCTCAGGCTCCACAACAGCCGGAGAAGTCTGCTCCAGGTGAGCTCTTGCCACCACCAAGGCTCCCCTGGTGGCATGGATGTGGGGGCTGGTGGCCACAGCACTCTCAAGTTGCCACGCACTCAGCCAACTCCAGAGGCCCATGGAATTGTCCCCTGCAGACCCAGCCAGGCACAGTGCACTGGGCTCACCATGGCCACTGGTAATTCTCCTCACCCCAGAGCTGGGCACCATCTGAGACAGTCCCCAGACGCACAGCGTGGCTGGTGCCTGCTCCAAGCTGTGTGTCCTGTTGGAGTCAGGAGAAACGTTGCTGGTAGGAACAGAGAATGGAACACGTCACATGCCTGAGACCAGCCCACCAAAAAAGGACAGTCAACACGGCATACCAAAGAAGACCCCCAGAAATGGAGGGGCTGAGGCCAGGCCAAGAGATAATGGTCAGCAGTGGGACCCAACCAGGGACATGAAGAAGGTTAGGAGACAGCATGTATAGGGCCTACGCCATTTATGACCAGATCCTCCTGGGAGCAAACCCAGCTCATATGCATCCAGGCTCGTCCCCACCCCTACCCTCAATGTCCCCATCCAGGTCACATGCAGTGGGGAGCCACCAAGAAGCCTTCCCGCCTTCTTCCAGCTCATCCCTCAGGCCCCTCGTGGGCACTGCTATACATCCATGCCAGGCATGCCCCCACCCACGGCATGGCTTCCAGCAACCAAAGCACGTTCCGATCCGTGGCAGGACTCTAGTCAACCCTTCTAGAGCCAAGGGCTCTACCACTGATCACATGTTCTAGAGCTTTCTCTAGGCATCCAGAGATGAGAGAGAAACAACTCCCTATCAAGGCCCAGCTGTCACTTTGGAAGAATGGAGGTAGGGCAGGGGCCGGTGCTAAAGCCTACAGTTCAGCGTCATGGTCTCTCCTTGCTCAGCAGGCCTGTTTCCAGGGAAGCTGCTGAGCAGAGCCCACTAGGTCATGGGAAGGCCACAGGTCAGGGCTATCTCAGCTCCTCTACTCTCTCCATCACAGCTGTTTAGCTGCCTGCCTCCAGTCTGCCCAGGACGGAGCTCAGCTCCCAGCACACTGCAGGCCGGTTTGAACCAGCCAGGCTCAGAGGCCCCATCACCGGGAGCTCTGGCCAGAGGCACAGCTTTGGCTCTCTGTGCTGAGTGGACCAGGAAGCAGCACCATGTGGCCTGTCATCGTGCCAGGGCCAGGTCTAGCCCACTCACAGGACGGGGGGGAGAACCCCAAATTCCCCTGGGACCCTCCCCCACAACCCATCATTGGCTTGGCTTTTTTGGGCTCTCATTTAAGACCCAAGGAAGGAAGACTTCTTCCACCTGAGAGGATCAAAAGGTCACCGGCAAGGAGAAAATGGGCTGGAGAGGGGACAATTCCTGAAGGGTCCCTCCAAGGCTGAGGGTCCATGGCAAGTGCTCCTCCAATTGGGTCAGAAGGCCTGTGGTATTCCTGAGCTAGGGCCTCTGGCCAGGAGGTTAGGCAGAGAGCCAGTGCCCTCATCCCAAAGAACTCAACCCACTTCCCTGCCAATGCCTTCTCTTTCCTCTGTCACCTGGGTACACCAGGGTCCTCCTAAGCTACGTCATGCCAAAGCAGGAAAGGATTTGGAGATCTAGAGGCGGGGGAAATGGCAACCCAGGTTAGCCCGGTACTGCTTACTACTAAAACGGCCCTCTCGCCCATGGCCCCCTGTTTGAGTAACAGAACAAAGCCCCATCAGCCATCACCAGTCCTATAAGTGCAAAGAAAGGTGACCGAGAACCTGTTCCATTCCTCAAAAGGATTCTGGGAGGAAGCCTATAAGAGGGGTGGGGGTGGGGAGAGAGACAGGTGGACAAAGAAGAGAGCACACTGTAAACTAATTCTAGGGCCAAGGTGTGGCCCCTGCTGCTCTGTGACGCCCATGTAAGATCCACCTGGGCCAAGTCCCCTCTCTGATGGCTGTGGCTGGTTAAGGACGGAGTCAAGCCAACATTCTGGATTCTCAGATGGTAAAAGGAGGGTGGACACACCTCCTGGAGTGCTGGTAGCCTGAGAAGCCAGGCCTGGTGTGGGTAAAGTAGGAAGGGGTGGGAATCTAACTTAAGGCATAGCATACACAGAAAGCATAAGGTCAGCCTGGAAAGAGAGGAGGGACCCAGACTGTGGGGTTTGATGCAGGTAGTTCACCCAGAGGAAGAAATGAGGGGAAGGGAAAAGAGGTGATCCACTCCTTTCAATTCTCTTCCAAAATGAAAGGCAAAGAGTTCTTTCAATAAAGAGGTAGAAGGTACATGACAAGAGCTTGAAGGCAGGTTTCGGGGGTGTGGCTACTAAAAGAATAGAGAATGAGCTGTTGAGTGAAGAGGAAAGACCAGGGTCTCCCCAAGCCCAGGGAGCTCAAGAATGAGCAGGCTGGGGGGGGGGGGGGGGGGGGGGGAGGAGGGAGGATGAAGGGGCGCGGAATGTGGGTATCTGTCACCAGCTTTCCCTGGGGGCAGCTTGAGAGGATGAGCTGGGGAGTGCTGAGGTGGGGGCAGTGGGGAAACCCGGAAAGTAAAGAAGCGAAAGATTCCGATCTGGGAACAAGAGGTCAGCCGCTAAGCCGGTTACAGCAGAAACAGCGCTAACAGAAGGAGAATGCGTAAGCCTGAAGAGCCGCCGGCATCCTGACTGCTGGCCCCGAGCCTCAGACCTGCCTTCCGATTGTACGCGGTGCCCAGGAGGGGGGGTTACCGCGTATGGGCTGCAGCCGGTTGGTCGGGTCGGGGCTGGCGGCCCTACCTGGTACACGGAGGCCTTAGGTGGTCCAGGCAGACGGTGCAGGCTACACCGAGTGCAGAGACGCTCCCTCCAGCTTCCTGCTGCCCGTCAGCCGCCTGCCGCCGCTGCCCGGCTGCCCCGGCCGCCCGCAGCCATGGCGCGTCGGGGTCGCCGGCTGCCCTGCAGCTGCCGGGCGCCTGCCAGGCCCGCCTCTGTCCGGGGAGCCCGGCCCCGGGCCGCCTCGCCCAGAGCCGCTGCCGCCGCCGGCCCCGCGGGTCGCCCCGCCCGGCCCCGACCCCGACCCCAGCCCCGACCGGCCCCAGCTGGCATCGGCGCCGGCAGGTCTCGCGGCCGGTTCGCCCTTGCCGGCCCTCCGCGCCGGACATCGCGGCCGGTCGGTCTGGCGGGCGGGTGTCGGCGACCTGCGGCTGAGGTTAGGGCGCCAGCGCGCTCCTTTGCCGCCCTCTCGCTGCCGCCGCGACCCTGCAACCCCGCCCCCGCCGCCGCCTCAGTGGTCTGGCCCGCGCGTCGCCCCGAAGCCGCCGCGGCCACCGACCCCGGCGCGGCCGCCATCTGGCTGCTCGTTCCCCTGCCGCCGCTGCCCTCGGAATCTCCTGTCACGTGAGGCCGTGTAATACGGAGCTGCCCAGGCTGGGGATGGCACGTCAGCCAGACCCCAATGGCGATGCCTGAGGCCCGCCCCAGTGCAGGCAGGAAGAGGGCGGGGCCCAGGGCGACCTGCGGGGGGGCGCGCGCTCGGGGCAGGGAAATCCTAGGGTTGGGGGCGTGCGCGCCGCTTCCGGTCCGTCTAGGGTGCGGCCCACTAGCCGAGGCCACCCGGTTGGTGGGCATCCCTGGACCGCCACGTTGGGATGTGCTTGCGCTTTTGTCCCCCAACACTCATGCTTGCGTGCAAGAATCTCTGGCCTGGCTCGCTGGAGTGAAACCCCGTCGGCCACTCAGATCCTTCTTGTGTGGGACCAGGTGTGCTTCCACGGGAAGCACGCATAGAATAGACACAAGCATAGAATATCTCGAGAAAGGACTCTGGACCCCGAATCTAACCCACTGTTCTGCCCAAACCCATTTCCTAACCCTGGGGTTAGGAGCTGAGGAGGGGTCCATTGAGAAAAGTGAGGGTCTTGGGAAATCAGGACCTGCCTTACACAGGCGAGCGGGAAGATGAGTACATGTCAAGTCAGCTGAGTGGGATTGTGCAGTTCTGAGGACAGCTGTAATACAGCTGTAATACAGCCCTTCCCTGCCCCCACCCCAACAGGCAGCCCGTGAAGGTCACTGTCCCAGAGTGCCACCTGCCAGGTTGTACCAAGGATATTCAGAACTCTACTATGTCCCAAAAGAGCAAGGGCCCAGAAGTAGGTCTTCTCAATCTAGGGGCCCTCCTGACAAAGGTGACAGCAGGAGGTCAGGCTGGGTGATGCCCCAGGGCTAGTTCCAGGGCAGCCCCTTTCTTTGCACAGGGAAACCAGTTGCTGCCCTGGAGCTTTAGAAAACTCACTGGAGGACCCCTCCCTCGATCCCTTTCAAGAATGGGCAGATTCCATATTCCTGCTGAATCCCTAAGGTTTATTGGAGACCAAGCCTCTCTCTGAATCCAAAACCATGGCCTGCCCAACATCAGGCCCCAAAACGTGCCTGGGGCCCCATCTCCTTAATTCTTGTCTAGGTGAGTCCCCAAACTCAGCCAGAGGAGGGACAGTGCCCAGACTCTGTCTCCTGGCCAAGGCATCCATCACCGTGCAGCAAGCTCTCTTTGGGAGGCAAGAGAGTCCATCCTTAGGGGAGGAGGCCCATAGGAGCAGGCCTGTGGGAGGGGAAAGGTGGTAGCCAGGGCAGAAGCCCCACCTTGCTGTCTGCAAACATCACTCCCACTGCAGGCGCTGTGTGTGCAGGGCTCGGTGGTAGGCCCAACTGCCTGCAGCCAGGGCACAGCGACAGACATCCTCCTTTGGAAGCAGCAGAACTTTGTCCTCCTCCAGCCGGCTCAGGAGGCCTGCAGCCCCCAACATTGCGCCCCCCCACATTCCATAAGTGTTGGTCGTGAAAACAGCCACAATGAGGATCGTCACTGCAACCACCAGCACCACTGCCTGACCAGCTACAGAACGGCCCTCAGCACCAAGGTGGTCACCAGCCACTGCCAGCACCATTCCTCCTCCCAGGAGTAGGTTGGCAGAGGAGCGGTCCCCATTCACCCAGTGGAAATCGAAGGCCAGAAGGGGCAGGCCGATGACAGTGGCCACCCAGGCTCCAGCAAGACAGTCTTCATCTGTGCCCAGCCCTGGGGCCAGCAAGGTGGCAGAGGCCAAGGCCTGGAGCAGGAAGCCAGCAGCGGCCCCTCGACTTGCCTGTCAGCACAAGGATAGGAGGAGATGGGGGGGGGGGGGGGGCGGGTAGCCAGGTACTCTCCTCATGAGGAAAAAAAGAGTGTGGAAGTTCATAACCCTGGCCCCCACAGTCAACCTCCCACCACCCTTTCCCTGATCCGGGGAACTGGACCTGATCCAGGTCATTGCAATCTGGGAGTGGGATACACCCCTGCCTGGCCCCAGTGTACTCACCTGGGCAGTGCTCACCGCTGCGTGCAGAGACACCACTCCCAGCGCTAGGTGGGACAGGGTCGTGCTCCACTCACTCCACGGCTTGGGGGCCATGCCACCTCGGGTGGTAGTAAATGTGGAACAAGAAGGGGCTCTGGCTTTGGATTGAAGAGGTAGCTGGCGACCCAGGAGCCCCCAAGGACTCTCCAGGGACTACTGCCCAGTTTCCAGAGCCCCATTTCTAAATTATTGGGAAAGGCTCATCTGAAACTTTCCAGAGCCCTGGGGCCACTGGACACACCAGGGAGTGGTGAACCTGTTTTGGCTGGTGAAGGAAAAGCGGCGCAGGGCCTGACCTGGTTAGACGTGAGTCTCAGTCAGTCCTGAACCTGCTCAAGTCTTGGGGAGAGCTGCGCGCAGGTTCCACTCTGGCCTGGTCTCAGCCTGGGAAGCGCCTGCCTTTCAGAACCTGGCCTGAAGGGCTAGGGGCGCAGGCCGTCAGCGCTGGCTGAGCTGGGTGAGGCCCCACCCCAGGGGCGAGCTGTAGATTGGCGTCGCCCGCCCCGCTGACCCTGCCGCCTGCCGGTTGCCGCCGGGTCTCGGCTCCGGCGCTGTCCGGGCGAACCAACGAGAGGAGCGGAGGCTGGCAGGGGCGGGGCCTGGACGAAGAGGACGTTCCAGGGACAGCAAGAAGAGGCTGTCAGGGCGGAGGAGGCGGACTCAGGAGGAGGCCGCTCTGTACCACGGCCCGCGATAGCCGGCGGAGGACCTGTGGTGAGGAGGAGCTGTGAAGGACGGGCCTGAGAAAGGGGAGGGTCGCGGGCGGAGCCTTGAGGGGAGGGACTGGCTGGTGAGCGGCATGGGCGGAGCTGAGGAGGATGAGTGGGGAGGGCCAGAAGATCCGGGCGGACTGGGGCGGAGCCACAGGAAGCGGCTGGCGTGAGGGCGCTGATTCCTGGGCTGATGGCTCCCTAAGGGCGAGATGTGGGGGGCCGAGGGTTGTAGAAGGATCCCGAGGAGGGGTGTGTGGGATGGGCGCTTTCAGCCCGTCTCCCGTGAAGTGGGAGTGGGAGGCGCAGGCAGGTGTGGCAGCCCTCTGGGGCCCTGTTTGGCATCCCCTTTCCTCAGCGTCCCTCCATCTGCGGGAGCGGGGCCGTGGGGCGGCTGTCCCGAGCATGCGCACTGGTTTTTTAACCGCGCGGGCGCGGAGTCGGGGCGTGCCGGGACGCGGGGCGGCGCGAAGCGGGGCCCCTCTGCCGCCCCGCGCCGCCCCATGTACGCCTTCACTCGCCCACATCTTCTACAGCCCTTCCGTAGGGATGGCGGGCTGCGGTGGCCAGCGACCCCTGGGGACCCTGCCCAGGTGAGCGCGAGCGGCGCTGCACAGCCCGCGACCCCTCTCGAGAGTGCCGTGGGTTCAGCGTAGCCCGCGCAGCGTACGTCTCAGGGCGCTCAGGACGCTGGCGAGGGCCGCTGAGGACCCCGTCTCTGTTCCCAGGCAGCGGAGACCTCAGCCGCAACCTGGCCAGGTTCCTGGGGAAAGAGCCCCCACGATATGGCTACCTACCCACTCTTCGGGGTCTCGTTCCCTCTTCTAGAGTGCCGGGTGGCAAGCCTGGGGTCGCCGCTGCCCCCCCGACCAGCCCACGGCAGAACCCTCAGGACCGAGCTGGACAGGCCTGGTCAGGTGCTGTCGGCATCGGGAGAGCTGCAGTCCCCGGGACCGTGAGAGAACCCCTGCCGTCGGAGAGAGGGAGAGGGGTGCTCGTGACCTCTTTGGGAGGAGGAACACAGCTGGTGCCTTCTGGTGGCCTTACTCCCTCCAACACGTGAACCAAAGCCTCCTTCCCGCTATCAGGCCTCACAGGCTGCTCTGAGTCTGAGGATGGGCTGGAAGAGGGAGCTGAGGGCCACTTACTGAGGTCTCTGGAAGAGGCTCACCCTCATTGAGTTCCTCTCCGTCCAGCTGGGGCGGGGAGAGCTGCCGGAACCCTTGACCGAGCAAGGTGAGGTTTGGCCGAGGGTCCTGCCTCGGGAAACTCCTACTCTATCCATAGTCCTGTCTTCCCACATGGCTGTCATCACCTCAGTCTCCTGCCCCTGATTTCCTATCTCCTTTACAGCCGAGCCAGATACCACTGCTGACGGTGACCGGTCAGCCTATCCTCCTGGCATGGATCTGAGCCCCAGGGGAGGCAGGCCCTGCCCCAGGCATTCATCCAGCCTGAGGTGCAGCCTCCTCGGCCAACCTGCTGGTGCATGAGCAGTGAGTTGAAAAGGAGGGAGTGAAGCCCAGCAGAGACTGGAGTGGCTCACAGCCCGGGGCCCATGCCCAGCCTGCTCCTGAGGGGTGCCCTCCTTCAGGTTAATAGAGACCTGATCAGTCCTAATCCGGGTCCACTCCCACCCCAGGATCCCCACCTCAAGAAGAAAGTCTTTCCTCACCTCAAGGGGTGAGTTCAAGGGGCAGAACCCTCCTCAGCTGGGAGGAGGACCAGAGAGCTTGGCAGCCATGAGCAGTCCTGACAGGGTGAGGGCCCGAAGGCCTGACTGTGTGGGAGGAGGAAGGATATGCCCATTCACCCTGTGCCCTCCTCCTTCCCAGCTAGAGGAGCTGAAGCAGCAACTCGAACTGCAGAAGAGGAGCTACTGCTTGGTGCCTGGGTGTGGTAAGGCTGGGGGTGGGGCTCCAGGGAGGGGACACACGAGAGGGGCCCTCAGCCAGGTGAGCTAGAGGGCCTCTTTCTCCAGCCAGGGGCGACAGACTCCAGAGGCAAAAGGGTTCCCAGCATCTAACCCTGAGAATGAGGCTCCAGAGCCTGAGCCTCACCTGACCTTCTGCTGCACTCAGTCTTTGGCCCTCCACCAGGCCCCCCAGGTATCCTCCCAGCTGCTACCATTTTTGGCAGTCTGGGGCCCTTGAACACTCTGGCTTCCTGCAACACTGCCCACGCCTCAGGATCTACAATCTGCTGGAAGGGGAGGCAGGGGACACCTTGACTCATGGCCTGTGAGACTAGGGGATTGTGACAGGCCCTGGGACTGTCTGTGCAAAGCTGCCCCAACAAGGGACCCTCAATGCCTGTGGAGAATACCTGACCCTGGGTCCCATGGCTTTTCCATGATGACCCTGTAGGCTATAGAGGGACTCTTGGGGTGGAGAGTCCCTGTCTGGGGTTGGGAGACAGAATTGAGCAGCTCTGCCTGTCTGTTTGACTTCCCCATCCATGAAATGGGGCTGAGTGCCCTCCCTGAGTTCCCCTGGCTCCATAGATGACACAGCTCCCATCCTCTCCACAGGAGGAGGCAGAGGCATTTGGTGAGCTCCAGAGTCAAGCTTAGGTGCCCAAGTAGACACCACAGAAGCACTTCAGGTCCAGGTGGGCTTAGTTCAGGGGTCAAAGCTTGGTACCTGGGGAGGGGGGTATCTTGGCAGGGCCTGGGTAAGCCTATTTCCTCAGCAGGGGTGGGAATCTGGGTGGACAGCTGGGGTGCAGGAGGGTAGCTGCAGGGCCTTCGGGGGTTCTTCGCAGCTCCAGCAGGAGACTGAGCAGACGGAGTTGCAGCAGGATGCTTGGCAGCTGGCAGGGCGGGCGGGTCCAGAGGGGTCAAGGGAAGGCCATGGTCTGGGGCTTTCCTCACAAACTCTCCCTGACAGGACCAAGGACAGAGTGTCAGTCTACACAGGGGCTGTGGGGGACCTCCAGGACTGGCTGATTTACCCAGGCTGTCAGTAAAACACAGTGAGGCCCGGGCCAGGTCAGGGACCATCTGCCCTCTCTCCAGAACATGTGCCTCTGGGCAGCCTCCAGTCATCGCTCTTCCATGGGGGGAGCCCTTGTTCTTTTCTTTTCCTTCCCAGCCCCCGAGCTGCCTGCTCTAATGGAGGTTGTAGGCCTGGGAACAGAACAGCTTGTGATCTCACACACCCTGGGTGATCTCATTTTCTGTCTGCAAACTGGGGAGACCAAAACCCCTTCATAAGATGGCCAACCCAGAGGAGAGCAAAGGTCTTCCCATGATCCTCCTGAGATTCTGAGTCTCCCATCCTGGGCCCACTGTATGATGCCTCCTAGGGCTCACTGAAAGTTGTAGGTCACAGCTGGTGGTGTACCATATTGCTCAGCGGTCTGCCCCACCCCTCAGTCTCCCTTGCTGCCCCCCCACTTCCTGATCCCTATCCCACCAGGGTATCCTGCAATTCTGGGCCTCCTGGGTCAGCTGAGGGGCTGGGACCAGCTTTTCCCTGAAGAGCAGCAGGGCCCCCAACTGATGCCCGGGCTGCTGAGCTCAAGGGTATGGCAGGCTTGGGAAGTGGAGGCAGAGTGGGGCGTGGCAAGCTGAGGAAGTGGAGCCTCATCGCCTGGGGCGGGAGGCAGCCCACTGATCTGATCTCCAGGAAATATCCGCGGTGCCAGGCCGACTGTGGAGTGCCAGGCCACCTCCAGCCTGGTGAGCTTGGAGCCCGTCTCCAGCGGCACTGTCACACTCTGGCTATCGAGGGCTTGCGCCGCCTCGCTTCTGACTGGGTCTTCTCCAGAGGTCGTTTCAGGAGGAGGTGATGTTCTGTGCCGACCTTCCTCATACTGCCCCAGAGTCCTAAGAGGCTTCGGTTTCTCTTTTCATCTATTCTAGGTGGTTGACTTGAAGGAGGAAGGGAGGAAGATCTGAGGATGATAGGTTTGCTAGCCTTTCCAGAATGATTCCAGATCCCCATCTGTTTAGAATTTAGAAATGTTTTCGATTTAATATTTTAGTATCTTAATCTATAAGATAGACATTTCAGGATAGAGTATAGGCAGGGATATCTATAGACTTTTCCTCTCTCTTCTCTCTTCCTTTTTCTCTTCTCTCTTCTTCTTCCAGCCCTTGGGGATAGCTTTGAGGGTAGGTTTCACCTCCTTGCCCTTGTGGCTAAGAAGGCAGTGAGGGCTGCAGGGTGAGCAGGTGGGAACCAGCCCCAGGTGTTCTCCCAGTGCCTGGTGCAGACCTGCCTCCTTCCCTCCTCCCCTTTCCCTGGCACAGGGCTCACCAGCCACTCAGCCTTCACACATCCCCTGTCTCTGTCTACATGTTTCCCATCAGAACTCCAGTGCCTCACCGGAGGCTCAGAGCTGGGAGGATTAGGGAAGGCAAAGGCCATAATA